CAGGGTTAAACATGTTTTTAAACGTCCACCCTCCCACTAACCTGGGACAGTGGTATGACAGCACAACATAAAAATGAACTGTAAAAATCAGTTGCAAATTGCTTAAATTAATAGATTGTTTAAACCTGCTGCATTTTTATGCACCTGTCCTAAGTCAGGAGCCTGTTGTTCAGTGGTTGTCGTTTGTTGGTGTGGTTCATTGGTGTTTCTCGTTTCTCGTTTTCCTGTCTAAATTGTTTTACACTAGTAATTTTTAGGGCCCTATATAGCTTACTGTTCGGTGTGAGCCAAGGCTCTGTGTTGAAGGCCGTACTTTGACCTATAATTGTTAACTTTTTATAAATTTTGACTTGGATGGAGAGTTGTCTCATTGGCACTCATACCACATCTTCTTATTTATATGGTACAATGTACAAAGCACAAAAAAAAAAACTAGCATAAAAACAATCGACACAAAGTACTGATATAAGAGAACTCATAGTTACTGATAGCTAGTTGATATAAACATGTATAGTAATCTAAAGTGATATAAAGTGGTAGAAACTCTTTCATTGATGCTTATCTAATACACCCCTCCCCCTGCCACCCCCAATGCCTATGTGCCTTTTTATCTGATAATATAGAATGCAGTTTTAGTATTTTATATTCATAAGACATACATGCAAATAATGGAGATGTTGGAACAATTCCTCTACACACAGGCATGATCACGATATTGATGGCTGTACCTTGTTTAATTCCTCTACACACAGGCATGATCACGATATTGATGGCTGTACCTGTTATTTGCTTACAGAAAACTCAGTGATTGCACTTGTCTTCACTTTAATGTACATGTAACATGTGTAATTGTCTAACCACATCAGACTTGAAATCTATCTCTTTGATCTGTCAAAGACTCAAAATTGTAATAAATGTAGTTTTGAGTAGTAACACATATCTATATTGTATTTCTAAAAATACATGTAGTTCTTTTATTCAGCTGGTTGATACTTCAGAATGGCTAATAGCTAATATAAAACAATTTGGATTTGGTTAAAAAAAAATGTTAAATAGATATTTTTCTCAAATTCTTATAGTCCAGCAGTTATTATATTAACTGAAAATATTTGTAACTATTATTTGTCTAATGAATAATCAAGATGTCATAGAAGGTGGATTTTATTAAGAATTAGTTTAATCATGCATTAATTATCTACCTAGATATCAACTTATTAAAACCAAAAGGATGTAAAGCAATTATAATTGATTAGAGCAGTTACATTGTTACTGGTAGGTGTTAATCCTTGAAATGTAAGTTACTCTATTTTTGGTAGGTGTTAATCCTTGACATATCAGTTACTCTATTTTTGGTAGGTGTTAATCCTTGACATGTTAGTTACTCTATTTCTGGTAGGTGTTAATAATTGACATGTTAGTTACTATATTTCTGGTAGGTGGTAATCTTGACATGTTAATTACTCTATTTCCGGTAGGTGTTAATAATTGACATGTTAATTACTATATTTCTGGTAGGTGGTAATCCTTAACATACCAGTTACTCTATTTCTGGTAGGTGTTTATCCTTGACATACATGTATCAGTTACTCTATTTCTGGTAGGTGTTAATCCTTGACATGTTAGTTACTCTATTTCTGGTAGGTGTTAATCCTTAATTTTGTCAACAGTAAAACATTTAATAATATTTTGTTGTTATTCAAATATTATATATACAAATATAGATGTAAGAACATATCCCCCACAAAATATGGTGGGATAGAATATTTAAAATATTGGATTAATATAAAAAAATACTCTGTATGTTTCTTAACCCCTGTACAAAAAGTAAAAATGGATCAGAAATGGTATTTGTTAGAAGCAGCTTTTATTTAATTAATTAACAAAATCAATTGTAATATTTATATTTATATCTTATTATATCTTTATGAGTTGGTTGATCTTTCAAGTATTGCTTAATTTTTTATAATGTGTATCTAATACTGTAGTATGTAATTTCACATGTTTCATCATGAAAAATAAAAAAATTACAAAAAAAAGGTGTTAATCCTTAACATACCAGTTACTCTATTTTTGGTAGGTGTTTATCCTTGACATACATGTATCAGTTACTCTATTTCTGGTAGGTGTTAATCCTTGACATGTTAGTTACTCTATTTCTGGTAGGTGTTAATCCTTAACATACCAGTTACTCTATTTTTGGTAGGTGTTAATCCTTAACATACCAGTTACTCTGCATGACTATCATTGTTATGATTAAGAAGAGATGTGGAGTATATATCAATGAGACAACAACCCAACAGCACAAACAGCTGCAATACTACATTGAATTATTATTTGTGGGTTACCTTTTTACGTGGAATAAATGGGTTGAGGTTACCACACACTTTCTTGTGTTTATACAAAACTTCCACTAAAATACAAGTTTTCCCTTATCTGAAAAATAAAGCAATCCCGGAGTGTACAGTCAATTTTATCAAAAATACAAATTTTTTGTTGTTTTATTGAATATTTTGAAGGACAAAATTCCAGCACTTGTTGTTATCCATTAGGCAGCAAAGGTTGTTAGGACAATTAATTTCCTACAGTGATCTATTATCATAATGTCTTGAACGTGCCAGCTGCTGTGGAGTAAATCATCACTTTAATGAATCTGACAAGATCATCATAATTTAACTATCTAAATAACCATATGTTTTACTACTTTGTTTGAAGTAAGGTATCATCAAGGATTTATATGAGAGGCTAATAGCAGATAAATCTTTCTATACCTGATCAGAATATTTGAGAGATAAGTTTATAAGATCAGCATAGAATGGAAGCATTGTAGGGTTATTGTAAAATAACACCAGGACTGATTTACTACTAGCACTGATGAAATGTTTCAGCCACCATGCAAGACCATTCAGATGATTCAGTTGGAAAGGATTTAAAACTTTCTATAAAATGGTTACTACAAAAACTTACAAGATCATAAAGATGCACATGTATTAACAGAATTATTCAGTTACCTGTACCTATTAGTTTTTGGTTTACTATTGGCACATCTATTAATCCCATCCATCATGTCAATGTTGGCATTCAGCCCTGGCATACTCATCAGTCCATAAGTTATTGGTTGTTAACACACAGCACTGCCAAGCTACCATAAAAATTACCGATAGGAAGTTTATCTATTAGAAAACAGTTACTCAAATACAAAATGATAGCCCTGGCAGTTAGTTAGTTACTTTGCTACTGGTATGTAATACACCTGGTATATCAGTTACCAGAAGGTGGTGACCCTTGACATGCAGTTACTCTGATACTGGAATGTAGTTACATTGTACCATTTGCATGTCAGTTACACTGTTACTGGTAGGTGGTTACCCTTGACATGGCAGTTACTCTGTTACTGGTAGGTGGTTACCCTTGACATGTCAGTTACACTGTTACTGGTAGGTGGTTACCCTTGACATGTCAGTTACACTGTTACTGGTAGGTGGTTACCCTTGACATGTCAGTTACTCTGTTACTGGTAGGTGCAACGTGGTTACCCTTGACATGTCAGTTACTCTGTTACTGGTAGGTGGTAAACCTTGATATGTCATTTACTCTGATACTGGTACCAGTAGATGTTTACCTTGGCATGTCAGTTACATTGTTACTGGTTTCAGTAGGTGGTTACCCTTGGCATGTCATTTACTCTATTTCTGGTAGATGTTAATCCTTGACATACATTTGTATTAGTTACTCTGCAACTGGTTGGTGGTTATTCTTGGTATGTCAGTTACTCTGTTAATGGTGGTTACTCCTGGCATGACAGATACTCTGCAACTGGTAGGTTGTTACTCTTGGTATGTCAGTTACTCTGATACTGGTAGGTGGTTACCTTGACCTGTCAGTCACTTTGCTACTGCTAATACTGGTTACTCTTGGCATGTCAGTCACTCCTACTGACAGGAGGTTACCCTTGGCATGACGTTCATTCAGACACCAATATAACACAGCTATGCAATTTTGAAAAAATGTTAGGAAAGTGTTAGCCTTTAGGAAACTGTCTCAACGAACTACAGTTATAACAAAAAAGGTAAATGTATTCATCAGTACTTTTGTGAAGTTTAGAAAAGGTCATGGCAGATCATTAATTATTTTAAATTTATAATCACAACTTTTTAAATCTGGATGATTAAGTGCTTTATATATTGTGTGAAAACCTGTTTGAAATCTGTATGTTACTCTTTAAATGTTCTTTTGTTGTTGGGTTGCTGTCTCATATTGACACATACATATCATTATGCCCCCGCTGCTAGGCGAAGGGGGCATTAAGTGTTACCCTTGTCCGTCCCGTTCGTCCGTCCGTGGCGTACGTCCCCAAAATTGGTTTCCGTTCTCTTACTATAGTTTGCATTACCAAATGTTATAAAACTTATACACAATGCTTATAACCACAAAACACAGATCAAGTTTGAAATTGGGTGGTGTCACTTTTACCCTTCATTAGTTATGCCCCTTTATAAACATAAAAATTGCTGAATTTTTCGCTTCTGTTTTCTAACTTTAGTTTGCATCAACCAAATGTTATAAAACTTATACACAATGCTTATAACCACAAAACACAGATCAAGTTTGAATTTTGGTGGCGTCACTTTTACCATTGTAGAGTTATGCCCCTTTACAAATGGAAAAATTGCTGAATTTTCTCTAACTTCATACGAACTAAAGTTTGCCTCAACCAAATGTTATGAAACTTATACACAATGCTTATTACCACAAAACTCAGATCATTTACTAATTTGGGTAGCGTCTTTTTTACCATTCTTGAGTTATGTCCCTTTATTATGTTATATGCAAAGGGGGGGCAGTGACACATTCCCCATTTATTTTATTCATATTTTACACTTTGATAGTGACTTTGTGACTAATAGATATTTTTGATTTTCCTCTATTTTGTAGCTGCATTAGATAACCGTTTGACAGTGACTTTGTGTATTGAAAGTTTCTAATTTTCCTCTATTTTGTAGCTGTATTAGATAACCCTTTACCACATGTTAAAGTACGACCTACCGAGGACGGCTACACCAGTTACAATGAGACCAACTCAGGAGATTACGTGATACCCACGGGACATAACTTTACGATAGAATGTCACGGTGCATATCCTCCAAGACTTAGAATTTTACGTAGAAATAGAAAAAATGTAAGTATTTTGCATATAAACACATCTGATGTTCAGAATGAAAGCTAGGATATTTAAGGATTTGTTTTGTTACAACAAAACGTGGAAAAATGTAAAAGTCAATTTACAATAGACAATATACAAGCTTGTGAAAAATGAACGTCAACAAACACAGGAAATGACTTCAAGTAATTAGGAACTGATTGGATACCGATTTAATTAATTAGTCTTACTACAGAGAATTAGTTTACATGTTGTGTACTGTAAAGTCATGAAAGTTATTATTGCCATTGTTGAACATTGTACAAAAATGTGTGATTATTTATTGAGTAAAATGCTGCATATAAATAATGCACTCAAAAGTTAAAATGATAGTTTTGGGTTGGTTTTTTTTTGCCAAACCTTTAAATCCTGTTACAATTTTTGTAAGTGTAAAAACAGTGCAAAAATTTCTATATTTACAGTATTCATGGTATTCATTGGGAGTTTGAAAAGAGAAAATATTTTAACTTTAACGTTTAAAATAAACTATTAAAACACTTAAATTTTGTTTAGCTACTTCTTGTCTCTCTCAGGAAACTAACAACAAATTGTTAGTGCTTTTAAATGCAATTAACTATCTTTACTTGCTGTAATGTCTTCAGCAGTTACCTTAAAATCAAGTTAAAACAATAATTAATTAAGTGCCTTATGTAATTTCAGCAGTATGTTTTTATGTTAATTATAACTATTCATTTGATTATACTCTAAGTTTGAATTATCTTTATGAAAAATAACAAGATACAGTTTGAATCCACAGGAGACAACTATCCATTAAGTTCAAAGGACATTCATGTAAACAATTACAAGTACAACCTTCAATAATTTGAAAAACCAATATGATAGAGCATTGGCTGTAGACCAAGTTTTATTCCAGCAATTACAATTTTAGAGATTTCTACTATTCCCTTGATCCCGTTGCTGGGGACAATATTATTAGAAATAAGGGCCCATGGCGTCCGGTCTTGTTAGCGCTCTCACGTGTACAATTCTTGCCAGATTTTTATAAAACTTATATCATATAGGTTTATATCAGCAATGTCTTGGACGAGTTCGAAAATCAGTGCCAATCAGTTATCTTTAAATGAGTTATGCCCCTTGGATACATTAATTATATGGAAAATTGCATCGTTAACGCTCATATTTGTTCAATTCTTGCCAGATTTTAATGAAACTTATATCAGGTTTATATCAGCAATGTCTTGGAGGAGTTCAAAAATCAGTGCCGATCAATTATTTTCAAGAGTCATGCCCCTTGGAAACATTAATTATGTGGAAAATTGCATTGTTAGCGCTCTCATGTGTACAATTCTTGCCAGAATTTTATGAAACTTATATCATAGGTTAATATCAGCATGTCTTTGACGAGATTGAAAATCAGTGCTGATCAATTATTTTTAAAAGAGTTTTGCCCCTTGGAAATTTTATTTATTTGAAAAATTACATTTTGAGCACTCTAATGTGTACAGTTCTTGCCAGATATTTATGATATTTATATTATTGGTTTATATCATCAATGTCTTTGACGAGTTCAAAATCAGTGCTTATCAATTATTTTTAAAAGAGTTATGCCCCTTGGAAATATTGATTTATATGGAAAATTGCATTGTAAGCCCTCTCATATGTTCAATTTTTGCAAGAATTTTATGAAACATATATCATAGGTTAATATCAGCAATGTCTTTGACACTTTCAAAAATAAGTTCTGATCAGATATTTTGAACGAGTTATGCCCCTTTGAAATATTAATTATAATGGAAAACACATTGCATTTGCTTTGAAGCCTTCATTTCTCTAAGATATTAATAAAAATTTTCAAAGAACAAAAAAAAAAGTGTTTTTTTTAGTTATTGCCCTTGTAACTCTGTACCTTGGATAGATAAAATATGTGCAATGTGGGGGACATTGGAACTCTGTTCTTTTATTTATTTTGGTATATAATGTTTTGTACAGAAATCAGGTGGCTTGTTTTTTTGTTTGAATTTTTTAACATTTTGATATGTCAGGGCATTTTATAGCTTGCTATGTGGTATGTGTTTTTCTCAATGTTGAAGGCCATATGGTGATCTGAGTATAATCACTAACATCTACATCATTTGGTTTCTGGTGGATAGTTGTCTCATCTGCAATCATACCACATTTTCTTATTTTTATATCAATCAAGAGCATAGAGACATTATGATTATTCAAAGTTGAATTTCATGTTCATGCCATGGGGAATAACTATTTTAGCATTGCAACTATGACTTATATTTATAAAGACATTTCAAAAACTGAAGTGGAGTAATATCAATGCATGATTTTCCCTTGTCCAAGCCGGACAAAGAATTTTTTGGCCCCTTAAGGGAATATTTAAACACAAATTTTGGCTCTGAGATTAGGTTTTCAGCATGCTGTTATTTCAACATAATAATATGTTATGTAATTCCTGTGATACCTTCCTACAATCATAGACTTGCTTGCAGTTTGCTTGTGTATGAAAGCAGAAAATTACATAATCATCTACTAGCTTGCCGCAAGCATCTTGCAATCAAAAATTAAAAGTTTTGTTTTTGCAGCCTGCTTGCTGCAAGCTTGTGACAAGTATTAAGTTTCAGTCTTGAATGCATACAAGTTGCTCACAGAAAGTGCTGCAATCATCTAGCATGCAACTAGCATCTTGCAATAAAAAAATATATTGTTTGCTTGAAGCATGCATACCGCACACTAGTGCAGAGCATTCTGCAAGTATGCAGTTAGGTTTGGGTTAGACACACAGTTTCTTAGACAAAATATATAGGCTATGTTTTATATTACAGCTATAAAAAAACAGCTGTATTATTGAATTAAATTTTTTTGGTATTTTCCCTTGTAGGTAGAACCTAACTTTGTTCCCTTGAATATAACAAAGGTTGAACTTACAGAAAACGAAACTGACCGGAACTTTGCAGCTTTATATCACGTTTATAACCCAGATTTTACGTACACAGGAGAATACGAATGTTACTATGCTGATAATGAAAATCTTGGAACCAAAGTTTATATCTATATTAGCGGTAAATATATACAGAGATATATATTAATTAAGAGTTAATGCAGTGGAAAATGTTATCAACTGGTTAATTTATCCTTATTTTGTGATGAAGATCAACTTGTGAAGGTCATATGAAGGTTAGGGAATTATCCAAATAAAATGGAGTTTGGTGAACAAGACTGATTAATAACAATTGATATGATCAGGAATACCTTTAGATTTCTCATGTATTTATGTATCTTGTGTCTCAGGAAATTTATTTTACTCTTAAGTAGTTTGAAGTTTTCCAACTTGAGTTCAAAAATTAAGTTCTAGGACTATTTAGTATGTAAACATAACCTGGATTTCATAGGTGTGGAAAACAGGGCAAGTGTTGTACTTCCTAACTACTTGCATACATACATACAATGTACATACATATAAACATATGTAAACATAACCTGGATTTGATAGGTGTGGAAAACAGGGCAAGTGTTGTACTTCCTAACTACTTGCATACATACATATAAACATACATGGTCGATCCATGCATGCATTAAAGTCCCATTAAAAAAAAAATAAAGATTTTTCTGCCTTTAAGTTCTAACTTGAATACACAAGAAATTTTAGAATGCATTTGAAATTCAAAGTCGTAGTTACCCCTCAATATTTTCATAGAAACTATGATGGTCTTCATGCATTCAAATTTCCATGGGACCCATGAACTAATCTAGACAAACATTTAATTAGATCAGCATTTGTAGAATTTTTAAACAAGGATTCCTCAGAACTTAATTTGTCATGATAAAAAAAATGTATATACTGATACCATTGTACATATTGACTCGTTATATTTTATATCTTGATTGTTCATTGTAGATCCAAACAATTTATTTGCACCGACATTTTCACCATTTCTGTTTTTGGCTATATACCACTATAGGAAGGCATATTTACCTTGTCGGGTTACGGATCCATCTACAAATGTCAAACTGATTAATACTGCCGGAGATAATGAGGTTGAGGTCGGCGACAGTACTGCTGTGTCTTATGACCCAAGAATTGGTTTTATACTGCTCTACCCCAACCAGTTCTTTGAAGGCCAATTCGAATGTAAAGCAACATCCAAAGATGGGAAAAAAAATTCACTAATTATGATTCTCAAGTATCTTAGTAAGTAAAATGAATTTACCTCCCTTTTATTTAGATTATAGTTTTGTGAATGACATTTGGTTAGCAATATTTTTATACGACCGCAAAATTTTTGCGGTCGTATAATGTTATCACGTTGTCAGCATCCTCGTTGTCGTCCGAAGACATTTGATTTCCAGACAATAACTTAAGTATAAGTGTATGGATCTCTATGAAATTGTACCACAAGGTTCCATACCACAACAGGAAGGTTGTAATTGATTTTTGGGTTTATTGCCGTAACTGTTTAGGAATTAGGGGCCAAAAAGGGCAGAAAAACAAGCATTTTTCTTGTTTCAGAACAAAAAACTTGTGTATAAGTGTATGGATCTCCATGAAATTGTACCACAAGGTTCCATACCAAAAAAAGGAAGGTTGGGAATGATTTTGGGGGTTATGGCCCTAACCGTTTGGGAAAAGGGGCCAAAAACAATACTTTTTAATACTTTGTATAAATTGCTAATTCTTCAGCAATTTCAGTGGGATTTAATTCAAAGTCTTCAATTTATTTGGTTCTTTGATATGCTGATCAAATCTAACCATGTATTTAGATTTTGGATTTTGGACGCCGTTTTTAAATTGGTCCACATTGAGGTCCAAAGGGTCCAAAATTAGTGTCTTTGGATATTATGGTCCATTAATAAATAAATAAATTAAATTCTTGGTGTACTTGGATATACTGAATTTAACCGTGTATTTAGATTTTAGATATTGGACCATAATAGGTAAAATCCAATTTAAAATTTTTCAGTTCTTTGACAATATTCATTCTGTGACAGAAACCTATGCTGTGTGTCAAATATTTAATCACATTCCAAATTCAGAGCTGTATCAAGCTTGAAAGTAGTGTCCATACTTGCACCAACAATTCATGGTTCGACCTCTGCAGTCGTATCTTACTGCGCCCCGCGGAGCATTTTATTTGTCTTTTTGATATTAATTAATTAAGCAGTATCCCTTATCCTAGGATGATATGGTATCTTCTGAAGAAGGAAAACTCTTTGTTTTTAAAGGCAGTGCCTTAATGCCTTTTATGGTATCAGGCAATAGCCATTTTGTTTCTACGTGGGAGGTAAATATGTCATTGTATGGTATTTTAATCTTTAGTTGCTTTTAAGATCGTTTCAGTCATTGATATAACAATGAAAAGTCGACTGATCTATGCTTAGTCACCACATGTCAATAATAACTCAGTTTTCTTTACTCATCAGAGCATTTAGTACGTTGAATATTGCCGAAATCCGCCTAAACTATCAATATCAATCTGGAATTTATTGAAAACTAGAACTGTTGAAAATCGTCTGGCCGTCTGACATAGCTATCAAGTCAGACCCTTTGTCAGGTTAACAATTTCGATCTAATAGGTCTGAAAAAGTTGTTTTTTAAAAATCCAAAACGACCTGTGCAGAAGTTGACATCCGGGAATCAGTGTTAAATTTGAGGGTCTCACTAATTAGTGACAAGAAGCGTCAAGAAGCGTCAAGAAGACTAATTTAGCGACAAGAAAACAACTTTAGTGTAAAAAATCAAGATATTAATTATTTCAAATAAATGAATATAGAAACATGCATTAAAGTGTTTTTTTTTTTAATGAGTCGCTTCTTGATCCTTCCTGGCGCTTCTTGTCGCTAATTAGTGAGACCGAAAATTCCATACACTTAGGTTTTTTCCTCTTACAATTTGAATTGTAAAAACCTGAGAGTACTGACCTTAACAAGTTTAACTGACATTACGGAGCTCAACGCTTATTAACAAGTGATAATAGCTTGATTAAACATTCAACAGGTGATCGAATATTAATTACTCGACATGGCTTCTGTTGATGGCACAAGTCAAAGATGATTAAAGTAAATAACGGCAGTGATAGAAAAGTGGAATGTTATCAAAATTTTGATGCCGAAAAAACAGTTAATAAACTTTCAACTCAGCAAAGAAATGCTCACTGTTTCACACTCCAATACGGACCCTGAAGCACCTTCAACATGCTCAAGAAGTTACGAACTGACAGTAGGTCAACAATGACTCAAAGAAATTATACAGCCTCCTCAGTGTTTAGCTAGATTAGCAACTAAACAAACTTTTACAAAGATCAAGATAACTTTGGTACAGTGTCAAGTGTTTTAAAGGCAGCTAAGTTGGCTTGTACTTCTTACATGACCCAGTGTTCCAATACCAATTGCTTTAGTTATTAAATAACATTGGTCAATGTAATATAGACGGTTCTTTTATAGCTAATATATTTTAAAGTGTTTGAAACAATGGCAGTCTTAATTTTTTTTTAACAAAATGACTATTAATGCTTAAATATAGGACTTTTCATAATCCAACCATACTTTCAACCACTATCTGAAGCAAGTTGACATCCTTCTAAAGTTACCAGACTTACATACATAACAAAAACATGGTACTAAGTATAATTTTATCTCGGAGTTGGACATTGACAATTACAAACAACAATTGGTGACCTGGCATGGTCAGTATTTTTTTGCTCAGAGTAATTTTTTGAAAAATAATGACTTACTTGGAAAGAGTGGACACACTCGAGATGCATTATATAACTCAATGTTTTTGAGATAAATTTCACACCAAGCCATCAAGATGAACTGGAATGTTGTTTTTTTAAACTGTGAATAACCACAAATACTGAAAACCAAAATTGTCCCTAAATATTCAGAAGCACTTTTTGAGTATAAATAAAAAAACGATTTGGTTTCTCAAAAAAGTCAATTCTATGTTGCTCTGTAGCTTGTAAAATTTTAATTAGTCCCCTACTGATGAAAGTCCCCTACCGACGAAGTCGAAGGGGACTTTAGGTTTGCACTCCATCCGTCTGTCTGTCTGTCTGTCCATCCGTCAGTCCGGCAAATCAGTTTTCCACACTTTTTTTCTTCGTGCTTGAAGATATTGATTTGAAATTTGGTATATAGTTTTTTCATGACAAGTTACAGATCAAGTTTGAATTATGTTACGGTCTGATGATTTTGTGCAGAGTTATGGTCCTTGGTCTTAGAAAATTCACTCATATAATCAGTTTTCAGCACTTTTTTTTTGTCATGCTTGAAGATATTGATTTAATAATTGGTATATAGTTTAATCATGACAAGTTATAAATCAAGTTCGAATTTTGTTCTGGTCTGATGATTTTGTGCAGAGTTATGATTTTTGAACTTAAAAGATTCACTCAAATAATCAGTTTTCCACACTTTTTTTTGCCATGCTTAAAGATATTGATTTAATAATTGGTATATAGGTTTATCATGACAAGTTACAGATCAAGTTCGAATTTTGTTCCGGTCTGATGATTTTGTGCAGAGTTATGGTCCTTGAACTTTGAAAATTCACTCAAAAAATCAGTTTTCCACACTTTTTATACGACCGCAAAAAAATTTTGAGGTCGTATATTGGTATGACGTTGGCGTCGTCGTCATCGTCGTCGTCCGAAGACACATTGGTTTTTCTCCCTCTAACTTTAGTTTAAGTGAATGGGTCTCTATTAAATTATACCATAAGGTTCAATACCACAAAAGGAAGGTGGGGATTGATTTTGGGAATTATGGTACCAACAGTTAAGGAATAAGGGGCCACAAAGGGGCCAAAAATAAGCATTTTTGTAACTTCCAGACATAACTTGTGTGTTAGTGTATGGATCTCTCTGACATTGTACCACAAGGTTCCATATCTCAAAGGGAATGCTGGGATTGATTTTTTGGGTTATTGCCTCCAAATTTTAGGAATTAGGGGCCAAAAAGGGGCAAAAAACAAGCATTTTTCTAGTTTCATGACAATAACTTGTGTGTTAGTGTATGGATCTTTATGAAATTGTACTACAAGGTTCCATATCACAAAGGGAAAGCTGGAATTGAGTTTTGGGGTAATTGCCCAAAACATTTAGGAATAAGGGGCCAAAAATAAGCATTTTTCTAGTTTCCAGACAATAACTTGTGTTCAAGTGTATGGATCTCTCTGAAATTGTACTGCAAGGTACCATACCAAAAAGGGAAGGCTGGGATTGATTTTGGGGGTAATTGCCTCCAAATTTTAGGAATTAAGGGCCATAAAGGGGCAAAAAAAACAAGCATTTTTCTAGTTTCAGGACAATAACTTGTGTATAAGTGTATGGATCTTTATGAAATTGGACTGCAAGGTTCCATATCACAAAGGGAAAGCTGGGTTTGAGTTTGGGGGTAATTGCCCTAAACATTTAGGAATTTGGGGGCCAAAAAGGGGCCAAAAAACAAGAATTTTTCTAGTTTCCAGACAATAACTTGTGTTCAAGTGTATGGATCTCTCTGAAATTGTACTGCAAGGTACCATACCACAAAGGGAAGGCTGGGATTGAGTTTGGGGGTGATGAATCATAAGGAGGTTCAAAAAATTTTGGGGGGGGGGGATTTTTTTTTCCTTTTTTTTTCTTTTAAATTTTCCATTTTAAATTGGTTACTTCTGATTTATATATAAAAGCAAATAATAATTATATGGTTTGAATAGGTATATTAAAAATTTTTAAGTTCTTAGACCACATTCATTCTGTGTCAGAAACCTATGCTGTGTCAAATATTTAATTACAATCCAAATTCAGTGCTGTATCAAGCTTGTATGTTGTGTCCATACTTGCCCCAACTGTTCAGGGTTCGACCTCTGCGGTCGTATCAAGCTGCGCCCCAGCGGAGCATTTTATTTAAGTCATGTTTGAAGATATTGACTTGATATTTGTGATATAGTTTTCACCATGACAAGTTATAGATCAAGTTAGTATTTTGTTCCAGTACAATGAATTCTAAACCGGTAGGGGACTATGTATTGCCATGCAATACTCTCAGAATGCTTGTTTGAAACATATTAGTGCATTAATATGCTCGTGCAATGATATGTTCTTTGGAAATGCAATGTAGCATTACCATTTCCATGCCATAATAAATGAAAAATGTCTAAATATCTTGATACTGTAAGGTTTTCTTGAAAAGTAGTGTAGAAATTATTGCGTGCATTTATTATTGCCATTTTTGAAATATTATTGCAAATTTAGGAAAACCTACATACAGAAATATGTATTTGATATCCGAATGCGAGCTTTTAATATTGTGATACTCCACTAGACGTTTTATTTCGCATTAATAAAAACCTTGCAATAATTTCTGAATTTACAGTATGTTTGATTATAATCAATTATAAAATCACAAAACCTGTAGGTTACTGCCTTTACAGCGCATTCATGCTTTGATTAGCTTTTACCATCACTTGGCGTCCATTGTTGTCCTCCTCTGTTGTGGTACACTTTTTAAAAGATCTTCTCTGAAACTACTGAACCAATTTCAACCAAACTTGGAGTGAATGATCCTTATGATATCTAATATAAAGTTTGTGTTTTTTTATTCCAGTTAGTCAACAAACATGGCCTCCATGGCATCAAATAAAACATAGGGGTAAAATGCAGTTTTTGGCTTATATCTCAAAAAATAAAGTAGGTCAATACCTAGTTGCTGTGAAATTTTCAGGCGAATCAGACAACCCATTTAGGAGTTATTGCCCCTGAATAATTTTTCTGAAATTTCTCAGTTTTTGATTATTATCTTGAAAACTATTATAGATAAAGAGAAATGATAGATATAGAGAACCTTCAAATGGCATGTTTAAACACTCATTAATATACATCTAACAGCAAAATAATCATTGATGCAAGATGTACACAACAAATTACAGGTGAGCGATTCAGGCTCTTATGAGCCTCTTGTTTTAAGTTCACTAAGTCAGGTTAAACTGCAGCTTTAACTGTAAATTTGGGATATTTTTAGATAACAAATTTAAATCATACATTCAAACCTGTGTGGATAAGACTTCTCTGGTGTGAGGAAGATTCCTACTTTTATGAGTAATTTTGTTAGGGAAAGAAATTTTGTCATCCTTATATTAATTGGCTTGTGGATTAAATACCTCTTTACAATGCCTTCTCTACTGTTTGAACTCCTTCTGACCTTTAAATTTATCAGTCAGAGGAGATTATTTATTTTTTGCCTAAAACTGTTTGTCTAGTCTTTTCAGTAGTATATTTTTCAGACCTCTAAGTATATACTGGTATGTGGGAAGTTATACCCAATATATTTTTCATTAGATTCCAACTTATTTATGTATTAATTTAAGTATAAATTTGTTTATTGTAAATCTTACCTTTTAAAGATTATAGACTTTAGGTAATTATCATTTAACGATTGCTGCAACTATTAAGCTTTTTCTATTAACAATACTTAGGGCAAACATCACCACCACAGCCAGCCTTAGTAACAACTAAAACCACAGTAATAAGAGGTGAAGAATTTGAAATCCAGTGCAGGATTTATATTGACAGAGGAGCTGCAGTGTTTATGAATTGGTCATACTCATCTAACGAGGTAAGGAAATAACCAATTGGTCATACTCATCAAATGAGGTCTAAAAATAACTGCTGCACCTTTTTATCTTATAACAGTTCAGTATAGAGGTTTTGAAATTTTCCTGGATTTTAATAAAAAAAAAAAACGGGTATCAAGTTCCTCTCATGATTGTGGCTAGGGCTACCTTTTAGTTTTCTCTTTTGAATTGTTTTACATTTGTTATTTCGGGGTCTTTTATAGCTGACTATGCGGTATGGGTTTTGCTCATTGTTGAAGGCTGTACAGTGACCTATAGTTGTTAATCTCTATGTCATTTGGTCTCTTGTGGAGAGTTGTCTCATTGGCAATCATACCACATCTTCTACATTTTGGTTTGTTTGTCCACCTGTAGATAATTCCTTCTTTACTTGCCCATCTTGTTGGTGATTGTTTCTTACATTCAATGATGTGTTAAGAAATATTTTACTCCTCACTGTTATCATAAAGTTTATCATTTTTAGTAAGACACATATAGTTTAACACATTTCTGTGGCTATTATACTTCCCTGACCTATTTAAAGCTTGAGTGACTTTGGTAAAGTTCTTAATGTCCATCTCTGGCAATTCCATTTCAAACATATAACTTGGTTGCCATGACCTACTTTTTATGCAAGAGTATTTTAATATTTCATATGTAAAAGCTATTATTGACATCCAATCCAGTAAATACATATATAACACAGATCTTGGACATGTAGTTCATCATAATCTACATCTTATTATTACCAGACCTTGGGTAAATCAGCATTAGGTTTAACTGGTTTTTATTTTCATAAAGTTTTATAGATAAGTAGTTTTTATTCTTCCAAACAAACCTCAAGAATAAGACATTGGAAGATTTTTTTGTAAAACCCTAACAAATCATAATTTTACTAATCCCTATCCTATTTGATAAAATTATTTCATTTTTATCTCGAGTATATTGACAAACTATTAATTTGATAAAAACTCATTCTGAGGATAACAAGAGTGGCTAATATTTATTTAAAAGTATTATAATTTGAGTTTTGTTACAAGGTTGTAGGTATTAAGAATCCAGTGATTGTCAGGAAAAATGGATTGTTGAATACAGAAGTTTCGAGTATATATTTTCCTCTTATTTGTGTTTGTTTCATTTATCACTAGCATGTCCTGCCTAGTTTCCATTTGGAAATAAAAGTTTAACCTGTTTAATGAAACTAATTTGATTCTCCTTCATTCCAGTTTGTATAAGGTTTACCAGTGATATGTTGAGTTATCCCCCTTTCATATAATTCTGAAGCATGAGTTCTCTCCCTTTTCCACAGGTGTTGGTGCATGCTACATTTAACATTTTACTGATGTATAAATTTGTTGTAGAACTCCAGTAATTCTATTGAATTAGAGGTATGTACAACTGCTTGATTGGATGAACACCATTTTATTGTTGATATGCAATTGTTTCTCTTCTGCTTATATCAATTGTAGAAGGGAAATTGTGTTTGTTTAGTTTGCTTTTACTCTCTTCATTGTTTTGTTTTACACTTTAGGTGCCCTAGACTATCTGTAACTCAAAAGTATTTTGATAATTCTTTTGATTTTTTGGATAAAACATATTATTGTTAATTTATGTTGCAACTTTATTGATAATTTGCTATCCAAATGTTTTTGTTTTGTGACCACTTGTTTCTTAACAATTTATCTGTACAATTAATTTTGTCTGCTGTTTCTATTTAGACTGTTTGCTACAGAAAATCAAAAAAACATCATTTATCAGAAAATACCAAAAAAAAAACCATCAAAATTAAGTTAAATATAAAGATAGGTATATGTATTAAGATTATTTTTGGCAGGAAAATCTCTTTTGATTTCTTATTCGAAATGTTAGGACATAATTTCAATCTAAATGTAAGAAATAACAAGAATGCCAAAATACTTTTCAAAATGTGTTTCAAACTTTACTCTTTAATTGTAATAAAAAGAAATTAAGAAATTGCAGGGCATTTTTTTTAAGGGAAAATGCCTGAGGAAATACACAATGTAACAAAATTAATTCTTTTCATCAAATTTTAAGAAATCTCACAATTAAATGTAAACTAAAATGTCTGTCTCATCTGTTTTTTCTAACAAGGTGCCACCTAACAAAGGACATAGTATTGGCAACTAAAACAATGAAATTAATTGCAGCCTTAATTACATATTTACATAGGCTGGAAATCATGTTACAGCCCTCAGATGTTTACAAGACATAAGTCTTGCATATTTACGATGAATCTTCAAACTTCTTCCATTTCAGGAAAAACTGCAAATTAGTCTCATTTTGAGATTTCTCAATTAATTTTAAGATAAAAGCAACAGCCTTACCTATCTGTAAAAAGATGTTGGTTTGAGTGAAATATCTTTCCAGACATTGTTTTGCTCATTTTTAATTTTGCCCAAAAACTAAATAAAAAATCTATTTTTGATCAAATACATCAACTATGATACTTGTATGATGTCAAAGAGACTTATTTTCACTACAGTGTAAACACTATATCATGGTATTCAAATTTATTGATAAAAATTTAAAATGATAAAAGAAATGAAAAATTTAACTTTTATGCAATTTCAGGTGCCATATAATAGTTCATTCAAGCTTCTCCCTTTTCTATCTTTTGTTGAGTTTGAAACCCCATGAAATGATCAGATTTCCATCCAACTAAAAAAAAAGAAATTAGGACCAAAAGTACTTTCACATTATAAATGGGACTTGAAACATGTCACAGGTGTCAAAAAATGTATTGAAAACAGTTTTCAAACAGTCAAGCAGGCTTGTATTTTGAGTACTGATTTGATTTTGATTTTTGGTGTTTTAACGCCACTTTTAAGCACCGCTTTTGGGCTATTTCGTGGCGGCCGGTTTTTATAGGTGGAGGAAGCCAGAGTGCCCGGAGAAAACCACCGACCTTTGATAGGAAAACTGACAATCCTAGTCAATTAAGATTGTAGTCGAGTGCACCTGCACGAGCGGGGTTCGAACTCACAACCTCAGTGTTTACTGGCTAGTGATTACAGTAGTAACTTCTTAGACCACTCGGTCACTGAGGCCCCTTTTGAGTACTGTAAAAGATACATCAGGTATATAAAGTTGTAAATATATATTTGAGTAGACATTTTCCCAGAATACCCTTATACATACAAATACTGTTGCATTGATATTATCTCCCCTGTTTCTAGCTTGAAGGACCAGTGGATCGTGGGGTAAGAGTCACTGCATGTTGTTCTTATCATTGCACTAACAACACATCAAGCATGTCAGACTAAAGTTTGCCAAGTTATAATAGCATGACATTTTTTTTAACTTCTATTTCATTTTTAGTTCCTGCTTGATTACAAATCCAAATACAATGTAGGTAGTAAGTTGCTAAAAGAAAGAGTATAATTGTAGTACTGTAAAGTTATCAAACATTTGATTTTTTTTATAAATCTATTGGTAACCATGGAGATTTAAACAATCATCCTTCTAAGACTGAATGTGTGTGTAATAGTTTAGTCATTAACTAATTATCTGAATAGCATTTTTATTGTAAGTTCAGATATTTATACCCCAGCTTTAAAAAAGTGGGGTATACTGTTTTACCTCTGTCTGTCCGTCTGTCTGTCGGATGAATATTTGTTCGTCGCATCTTTCTCAGGAACTACATCATAAGGATTTCCTAAATTTGGTTTCAGGGTATATATAAGTCAGCTATACCGTGTGATGCGTTTTCAGATTCATCACTCAACAACTTCCTGTTTACCGAACAGTTACATATTTTTACACTATTAAATTTATCCAGTTGCGGTGGGGGTATCATCAGTGAGCAGTAGCTCGCAGTTTCACTTGTTTTGTGTGCTTTTGTTACAGCAATTGTTGAACCATGGACAAAAATGCTAGATTAATTATTAAATACAAATAATGATTTCAAAATTTCAAAATTTTTTTATTTTTGCGAAACATATCCAGTTGTAATTTTAGCAATAATGAAAAGAACAAACATTTCTGAACTTACAGTTACTTGGGTTGGCCCCAACTTGTTAAACATCGACTTAAGATGCAATAGATTTATTTCCTGATAAAATTTAGAGGTTTGTTTAAAGCACTGTTAGGATAAACAGTATTTTTTACCCAAAGTTTTACTCTGCATCAATTGATAAGAAATCTTTATATACAATTGACATCTAGTTATACCAGCCTACTGTTTTGACCCAAAATTTACGGCTCACTTGACATTGAAATGTGAAAGTGTGAGCGGAGCATAGTGACCTATGAATATATTTTTGTTTTATTTTATTTCAAATTCTGAGTAAAGAGCAATTTATTGTAGAAATATATATATATGATAAAAGAATTGGTTTACTGTCAGTGTGATAGAAACAGAATAGTAATTGGAAATGATTGTTAACAACAAGAGTAATTACAACATTTTATTTACAAATAATTGTTTAATCAGTGTTAAGTTTCAGTAGTCTTGATCATCAATAACAAATGTCACCATTATATTATTATTTAACCATCAACTAAGACATAATTTACCCTCGTCATCATCATTTCACACTTAACATTCATAACATGTCATGTATAAGGCATGCTTCATCAATTAAACTAGGAGTATGCTTAGTATAGGGATATAACTTGTATCTCATATTAGTAATTATTTGCTGTATTTATGATTAGATAAATTATTTGTTAGTAATTTTACAGAATTTGTAAAATAGCAAATTTTCAGGTTTTTCACAAGAGCTGATCACAATGTATTTTATTTGAAGGCCCATTGTCACTATCAGAGTTTTCTTTCACCAATATTGAATTTTTGAAGGATTTTTATTTATATAACGATAGTTAAAGAAAGTGTTTAGCAGAAACTTTGACAGACTTTGATAGAATAGAATCTAATCCTATTTTTCTTTAACTTTGATGGACATAGTGCAGTTAACAAATGATGCAATTTTTGGTTAAAATAAAAGCACATGGCAAAATTGGCAAAATTGGCGAAAAAGTA